TTTTTTCTTAATTAAAATTTTTTTAATGTTGACATAATTGCTCGTGTCCCACTTATTCGCCTCTTTGCCCACCTTCACCCCCTTCCCTCCCCCTCCCTTGGCCTTCACCAAACTATTGTCCATGTCTATGGGGTATGCATATATGTTCTTTAGCTAATCCCTTCACCTTCTTTATCCAGTCACCCCCTCCCCCCTCACTTTGGGCACCGGCCAGTCTGTTTCATGTATCCATGCTTCCAGTTCCATTTTGTTTGTCAGTTTATTTTGTTCATTAGATTCCACATATTAGTGAGATCATATATGTTTTTCCCTTAATCCTTTCACCTTTTTCACCCAGTCCCCCAAACCCCTTCCCCTCTGACAGCTGTCAGACTGTTCTATGCATCTAAGAGTCTGTTTCTGTTTTGTTTGTTAGTTTATTTTGTTCATTAGATTCCACATATAAGTGAAGTCATATGGCATTTGTCTTTCCCTGACTGGCTTATTTCACTTAGCATAATAATCTCCAGGTCCATCCATCAAAGGCAGGTTTTAATAAGTCACTGAAATAGTAATCCCAAAGGTTTTCCTTATGTATTATTTATTATATTAGGAAATGAAATATGCCTTTCCAACAGTCATCACTCTAAAACACACTTCAACAATTAAGCAGAAACCAGAAGAAAATTGTTTTATCTTACTTTTATTTGTTAACCTGATGTTTACAAATCTGTCTCCAGTAGCAAACATCTGCATGTTTTAAGTATTCCCAAACTTAACTAATAAAGTAGTTGATAACAGTGCTTCACTTCTAGGTAAAATATTAAACATTAAACTTTTTTCACTATTTAACGAATTTTTACTAAAGCAAGAATTTCATAATACAACTACAGTAAAGAATTACAAACTTAAAGAAAGAAATGCTTTAAATTTTTGTACTTTGCTGAAAATTATTTTTCTCAGAGTCCATAAAACATCAACTCATTTTTATATTTTACTATTTTTGTGGGTTTTTTTGTTGTTTTAAAGTCAATAAGTAATCTAGGACTAGCATTACATTTGCTAGACATGGCATTTTCTCAGTACATAAAGTTCAAAGTGTTTTTTAAAATTTATATTTTGCAATTTTTTCTGTAATATTTGCGTTTTTCGATGTTTAGATATTTTTCTTTGGTGAAGCATGAGTTTCTTCTTGTGGTCCCTGATCAACTTTAAAGATGGAACCCCGGTGGCACTGTTAATGGTTTTTTCTCAGGTTGTTGAGGCAGGCAGGCTTGTAGTACCTCTACAGCTTCATCAACTTTAGAACAGAGAGACTCTGGAGACTCAAGCATAAGAAGAAGTTCTGAATTATCCATTTCCAACAACATGCCAGTGATTTTACTAGCAAGAGTAGGCTGTATGGCTTGAATTAGAGGAAATAGCCATTCACCCAACATTTTCTTTTGCTCTTCAGGGGAGGCAGATGCCAACCTGGAAGCAATCAAAGACTTCCCACCTTGTACACGAACAGCAGGCTGCTTCACGGTAGCTCGTGGCTGTGCATTAAGTTGTTGAGGATTGCAAACTCCTTCATTATATTTATACTGTAGAATGGTGCGGACAGCAGGAGTAGCTGCAGCAGCAGGATGTGGACTCACTGTGGGTGTTGATGTGTTAGCAACACACTGTGGCTGTGTTGAGATTGGTTGTGGAAGCTGTGAAGAAGCTGGTTTCATGGTTGTAGGAGTGGCTGGGTCAACAGCGCTGGGCATCTTTTGGAATGGATGAGGTATGGCACTCTCATCAATGCAGCAAGAACTTGGTGTTGGTTGAGCAACTTGGCTAGGAGGACTGTATGCAGCATAGTCCTGAGTCGGTGGCTTAGCTACCATCAAGTAATCTGGAGGTGCTGGCTGGCAGGGGGTGGTTACTGGGTCGGGCACAGCTGTCGGAGTTTCTGTTTTCTGCTTATAGTGGGTAGTGAGGTGAACCTGGCGCTCTTGTTTGTACTGAGCGAAGGATACATACAATGGCTTGGTGGCCAAGATTCTGCCATTCATTTCTGCTACTGCTTTACTGGCTTCTTCTGGGGAGGAGAAACATACAAACCCAAACCCCTTTTTGCGAGTGCCCTCCATCATAACCTTTGCACTAGTGATTGTACCAAATGGAGAGAACTCTTTCCGGAGACGTTCATCATCAATACCATCAGCAAGATTTTTCACATAAAGGTTAACACCCTGGTATTTAGCGACCCTACTTTCCTTAATCTCTTGTAATTTGTGCTGAAGTTCTGTCTCCCTTTCCTTTTTTTTCTGAGCTCGAGAAACGTAAATTTTTTTCCCATCAAGCTCCTTTCCATCCATCTCATCTACAGCTTTCTGTGCATCTGCATGGCATTCAAACCTTACAAATCCAAAACCTCTGGATTTTCCACTTTCATCAGTCATTACTTTCACACTTGAGATAGGTCCAAACTTGCCAAAGAGATCCAAAAGGCACTCATCATTCATACCTTCCCCAAAATTCTTGACGTAAACATTGGTGAACTCTTTTATCCTAGCTTTGCGCTCTTCTTCTCGTTGGTTAGGAGGCTTAAATTGCCCAACGAATAGTTTGCGATCATTTACAAGCATGCCATTCACGTTTTCAATAGCTCTTTCAGCTGCTTCCCGTGTCTCAAAATGTACAAATCCATGACCCTTAGAACCATTCTCATCACAAGCCACCTTACATGAAAGGATGTTACCAAAAGCAGAAAACATATCATATAGTGCTTTATTATCAATGGATTTGTCTAAGTGATTAATGAATATATTGCCCACGCCACTTTTGCGAAGTGATGGATCACGTTGAGACCACATTATGCGTACTGGCTTGCCATTTATAACATCAAAATTCATGGTGTTCAAAGCGTGGCCCGCGTCCGCTGGCCGGTGGAAGTTCACATACCCATAGCCCAAAGAGCGGGAGCTGATGGCGTCCCTGCAGACCCGGATGGAGAGGATGGGTCCAGCTGAGCTGAACTTCTCGTAGAGCATCGCCTCGGTCACGTCTGGGTGTAGGTCCCCCACATACAACGAAGCCGTGGAGAAGCTGGGGGTGCTGGGGTTCATCTCGTCAGGCTGCCACGTAGCCATAGGCCTCGACCTTTCTGTCAGAGACGGAAAGCAGAGCGAGAGCTAGGGCTGAGGCCAGAGATGGAGGAGGAGGAGGCGGGGACGGGGGCAAGCGCAGAGGGACAAAAATGTACCAGAATCGAAAACTTCCTAACGGTCTCAGGTCACAGAACCCCTGGTCCTGACTTCCGGCTGGGGAGCGAGGGCAGTGGTGTCCGGTACTGTCTGCCCGAAGGCCCCCGCAGAACGCCTCGCGCTCTTGGTTCCTTCTTGCAGCTGCTGCAGGGCCATTTGCGAATCCGAAACAGCCTCGGCTGCTACACTGGATTATTTTATAAAAAGGAAGAAAAAAAAAAGTCTCTGGCGGGGAAGATGTGAATTTTTTGTCTGGTAAAAGTTTTGGAATTTTTAAAAAGGATTTTAAAAAGATTTAAAAAAATAATAAATGTGTCAAGATACTTCCATTAAGACACTTCCATCACCAGAAGAACCCCTCTTTTGTCCTTACAAAACCACACCCACTTCCTTCTGTACCTCTCACCCCTCCCTTAATCCTGAAACCATTAATCTATTTTGCATTTCTAAAATGTCATTTCAAAAATGTTATATAAATGGAATCATACACCACGTAACCTTTTTAAAAACACGCACAGCATGTGGAATCATGAGATGGTCAAAATAAACTACATTTTACCTCTTTAGGGTAAAGATGATCATAGTTCATCTTACGGAGCATTTTATTTAAAGACATAATGCTTCAACACAGGCACAGAGCATCTTTTATCTATGGATAGTTGAAGTGATCACAGATTTCCTAGAGCCCAAATTTTCTGAAGCTTTCTCTGTTCCCTGTATGTGAGTAACATGTCCTTTACCACAGAGGTGATAATCAGCTCTCTTTATTTTATCTCCTTCTAGCATTTTAAAAACGCTGCCAGGTAGTCTAATGAGTTCTTTCATTGTTATTTAACTTCATCCTCTCAATAAAACCTCCAAGTAAAATTTACTTTTCAACTTTAGTGATGAGGAAATGGGCCCAGAAAGATGATATTTGCCTAACATTGCATAGCTAATCAGAGGTCACTCCAGGATCTACACCTTAATTCACCTAAATTTTAAGCTTTTCTCAGAGTATTTTGTCTTATTGTCAGTTAGAGGAATAGTGTCATTAATGTGGGACGGAAATCTTTCCCTAACTCATTGATTATTTTCTATCCCTAACTTTTCCTCTACCAATTCAAATAAATACAGAGCCATATCTATGCATTCATCACCTTTCCATCCATCCATCCATCCATCCATCCATCCATCCATCCATCCATCCATCCACCCACCCATCCCCCTTTCTCTCTCTCACTCACCATTAATTCAAACATCACATGTTTATTGAGCACCTAGTTCATGCCAGCTAACTACACTAGGCATTAGGCATACAATTGTGAACAGAAGACACATGGTCCCTGCCCTCATAAAGGTTACAGTCCTTTTTGACCTGCCAGAGCCACATAGAGGAATTTTATTTGCCTACAGATCCCTAGGGCTCAGGCATCTCCATCACATGTGGAGTTTAATGTCTTTACAGTTCACAATTGGCCCTTTTGTAAGTCACTTAAATTGGACTTCTTGGATTGATGTTTTGCTTTTACAAATAGTCTGAATAGTGGAATGAAGATGTTATAATTTGATTTTTGAATTGAAGGATGAAAAATACAAGAGACATCACCTTTTTAAAAACTAAATGTAACACTTTACATAAATATTTCCCACAGAGCTACTAAACACATGCCAAGTTCTACTAACAATGATGTATAAATATACATAAAGATAGAAAATATTTGGTTACACATTTTTCTTGATCCTATCCCAAAAGATTTCCATCTATTACTTGTTTTGAGAGAACAGAAGCTGGCAGGGGTAATTAATAGAGCTGACCTCCAGGGTGAACAGACACACACACTGGTTGGGGGAGCCTTGGATTCTTTTCAAAGGACTCTGCTGGTAAAAATTGGAAGTGCTGTGTGGCTCCTGGGAGTTTTGTTTTGGTAGTAGTTACTGGTTAGGCTCTGTAAATTTTCCTTTCAGACGTCTGGCTGTTTCTCAAAAATTGCCTTTAAGAATTGTATTTTGTAAGTTAAGAGCTATTATTAGCTGTGTGTTTGTGGTTAAGACATGAGGTCAGATTTGGCAGGGAACTCTTAAGGGTGTGTGAAGGGGAACCTCAGCCCAGCCATCCTGTGGCCACTTGGTACCTTGGGGATCAGCTTATTCCTGGCTTCCAATTTGTGGGAGTATGTGCTTTAATAATGAAATGCTGCCTCAGGGAGTTAGGAGTGATTTGTAGCAAAATTCTTTTTCAGAGTTCAGTGTTCTAATGAGGATGTGTATGTGTGTGTGTGTGTGTGTATGTGTGTACATATATATATGTATATATATTCCATATTCATAATTGCTTAATTAGGCCAGGGACCATATTGATCTTGTTTATTATTGTACCCCACCTCCAAGTGGAGTGCTTGGCATAAATAATACGTATTTGTTGAATGAATGAATGAATGAATGAATGAATGAGTTAAAATGACAATAGCCCTGGCTGGTGTGACTCAGTTGCTTGAGCATTGACCCATGCACCAAAGGGTTACTGGTTCGATTCCTGGTCAGGGCACATGCCCGGGTCGCAGACTCAATTCCCAGTGGGGGCATGTGGAGGGCGGCTGATTGATGTTTCTCTCTCTCCCTCTTCCTTCCTCTCTCTCTCTCCAAAAAAAAAAAAAAAAAAAAAAAAAAAATA